ATGCCTATGGCTTCAAGTATTTCCCCTATGTTTTCTTCCAGAAATTTCCAGGTTTCTGGTTTTATACCTAAGTCTTTGATCCGTTTTAAATTGCTTTTATTACAGGGTGAGAGATAGGGATCTAATTTCTATCTTCTATTTTTGTATATCCAGTTTTCCCGGCACCATTTTTAAAGAAGTTACCTTTTCTCTAGCCTTTGATTTTGCCCCCTTTGTCAAGAATCAAATAGCTGTACTTATGTGGCTTTCTGACCATTCTGTGCTATTCCATTCCATTCTGTTCTGTTGGTCTACATGTCTGTTTTTACTACAATGGTTTTTAGTATATCTTAAAATCAGGTGTTTTGATGCCTGCTGTATTATTCTTTTTGCTCAGGATTGCTTTGGCTTTGTGTCTTTTGGACTTCCACATGAATTTCAGGAATTTTTCCAGTTCTGTGGAAAATATTCTTGGTAATTTGATGGGGGTTGCATTGAATGTGTAACTTGCTTTTGGTAATATAGCTATTTTAACACTATTGTTTCTGCCACATGCTGAACAAGATAGCTCTTTCCATTTTCTAATGTCTTCTTCAATTTCTTTCTTCTGTGTACTGTAATTTTCATTGTAGATGCCTTCCATCTCCTTAGTAAGGCTTATTCTTAGGTATTTTATTTCTTAAGTTATTGTATTTGTAATTGTTTATCTGATTTATTTCTCGGTGGGTTCATATTGGACGATAGGAAAGCTATGGATTTTTGTGTGTTGATTTTTCATCCTGACACTTTTCTGAAATTGTTTATCATATCTAAATCCTTCTAGGTAAAAAAAATATATTTTTTGCAAATAAGAATAATTTTACTTCTTCCTTTCCTAGGTGTTTCTTTTCTTTCTTTTGCCTAATTGCTCTGACTAAAATTTGGTCATGCTGTATGGTCTTTTTAATGTGTTGTTAAATTCTAAGAATCTTACTGAGGTTTTTACATCTCTGTTCATTAAAGGTATTTGTGGTTTTCTTAAATCCTTATCCAGTTTTGGTATCAATGTGACACTGGCTTTGTAGAACAAGTGTGGAAGTATTCTTTCCTGTTTCATTTCATGGAAGTTTGAGGACCACTGATGTTACTGCCTTTCCAAAGGTCTGGTAAAATTCAACAGTAAATTCCTCTCATCCTGGGCTTTTCTTTGCTGGGAGACTCTTTCTTACTTCCACAATCTTATTGTTATTGATTTGTTTAGAGTTTTATATTTTCTTCATTCAATTGTGGTAGGTCATATGTGTCTAGAAATTTATTCATTTCCTCTAGACCGCCAATTTATTTGAATGTTTTCAAAATAGTTTGCAATAACCCTCTAGATTGCAATGGTATCTATGGTGGCTCATTTTGTCTCTAATTTTATCAGCCTGGGTCCTCTCTCTTTTACTTAGCTTGGCTAAGGGTTTATCAGTCTTGTTTATCTTTTGAAAGTAACAACTCTTTGATTCACTGGCCTTTTTATTGTTCTTTCAGTCTCCCGTTATTTCAGTTTTTATCTTTACTGTCTTTCCTTCTACTTGTTTGGTTTTGGGCTTGTTCTTATTTTTCTAGGACCCTGAGATGCAACATTAGGTTATTTACAAGAGATCATTCTATTTTTCTAGTGTGAACACTCATAGCTATAAACTTCTGTGTTAGAACTGCTTTTGTTGTGACCCATAGATGCTGATACATTATGAGAAGCAGTATATTTAATGACTGTATGCTTGAGAAATGTAGATAAACCATAACTCTTAGAATAGAGGGAAATTAGAAGAGGAACATATGGAAAAATGTTCAGCTCCTCTCAGAAAACTATGTCAGTAGCAGTAGGGTCCATATTGTTATGTTGAAGCTATTGAATCAGTCATGGCAGACCACCAAATGAGGAATTAGGAGATATTAGATTTTATCATTTTATTATCTCCTGTGCTCTTGAGAACCAGAACCTCTGACATGAAAGAAAGGGGAACTAGAGTTGGTAAAGAAAAAGTTCAATTTACAATAAGAAGGTATAGCTCTGAGCTTGAATGAGAATTATCATATGAACTATGGAGCTACTTTATTAAGACACTGGTGTGTGTGTGTGTGTGTGTGTGTGTGTGTGTGTGTGTAAAGACAGTGTAAACAATGACTGACCAACTTAGCAGCAATGAACATCCCTAGCAACCCACATTCTTAGACTGTGGTTTTAAGTACTTTCCAATTGAAAAAAGAAAAAACAAAGAAGTATTTTGGAGAAAAGGCTGATTTCATATATGATAATCCTAGTACATCGTTTTATACCAGGTGATGAAGAAACTATCACAGACAATTAAGACCATATCAAGGCACTCAGAAATCACTTTGAAGAGGCTCCCACTGGCTAAGGATGAGAAACTTGATCTTCAAAAAGGATAATAATTACAATTCATTGGAACTCATCAAACATAGTTAAATACATTAATTCATAATAAGTTTAAAATCTAATTGGTTACTTTTAGAGGAAAATGGGGAGCCAATTAATTGTTTGGATAACTGGTAAATAACAGAAAAGAATTAAGCATGTCTTATCTTCCTTATATGAACTGGGTGCCCCTGGATATCCAGAGTGGATGATAAAAAACACTTATTTGTAAAATATCCCAACTGATAAGTGAAGATGAAATTATAGCTTTAGCATGCCACGCTTTTGCAACTCCCAAAGAATTCACGGGTCCAGGTAATGATCGTGAATGGCTGCTCCTGTTACAGAGACAGGAAGCCCCATGTGCCTCCTGGGCAAGACTGCGCCACCTACAGTCTGCCAAAGGAGTAGAACTGAATCCAAAGGAGCTTTTGCACTCAGATGCCACTGCACGAAGATCTAGAAAGCACAGTAACATATTGAACGATACCACAAGGTCATAATCAACCAAATCAGGCCTTGGGAAACTGTCCTGGGGTTCCGTAGAGGTAACCTGTAGGAATGAGGAGGCTAAAAGAAATTTGCAAAGTGCCTATTAAGACAAGACGATAGAACCCTAAAAATACATCTAATGAGGGATGTATGTTAGTTCCTTGCACACACATGTGCGCATGCACACACACACGAAGTGGCTGTTGTACAGGTCAGGAGAAAGGTTACTTTATAAAAGGAAGGCCTTGGGGTTGGGGGACATGAAGACATAGGGTGGCTGGCAGAAGCCTATTTCTGAACACAGGGTATATACCAGGGTACTCACTTTATACAAAGAATAATACAGTAACAACCCTACGTGTGTTTTGTGTAGTTTTCTTACCTGTGTTTTATTTTATAAATTTTAATATCCTTTCCCAAAACCAGGAATAAATACGTGTGGTTTATCTACCTATCCTCCTTTCTGGGTAAAGCCGTGTATAATTGGATGGCCTCTTTGCATCAAACACGTGTGTGCTGGGATTGTGTTTGCGAGAAGCACTGCGGTGCAATCAGTCAGCAATCGTTGGCTGAGTGCTCACTGTGTGTGAGGCGCTTCTGCGGTCACTGAGCCGCACCTCTGACACGCTCTCCCTTTGCTAATTAGTCAGCAGCCGTCATTAGAAGTTTGCTCTGTGCGTTTGAGTCGTTGCTGCCGAGGACACCTTATTTCTGTATGATGTCTCCTTGTATGAACCGACTAAAGAGCTATGTTGAAGAGGACAGGCTCAGAACACACGTCAGCACAAGGCACAGTGGCCTCTTGCCCTCATCTCAGCCACTGCGGCCCAGCGGCCACAGCCCAGGGGTCCAGGGTGCGGCATGGGAGCGTGGGCGGTGCGGACGCTGCCTGCCGAGAATCTGCTGTGCCCCCTGGCTCCCCTCTCATGAGTCACCACCCACCTCACCACACATCTGCGTCTCTAATTCCTGGAAACGACAGCTTCCGACAGTCTTATAAAGGGAAACAAAACAGGAGTGTTTGAGAATTTTTACCAAGCCACGATCACCAAAATCAGGAGGCAACTTACTCCTTTCCACCAGATAAGCCCAGTTTTTACATCTGAAGCTTAGCAGGCACATCAGTTTTTATGCTTTATCTGCAAAGCAAAGGAACCATGAAAGTTGCAAAAGTACGAAATGCCTTCATGACCAAAAAGGCTTTTATCTCAATTGTTGAGTTATAAATAATAATAATGGATAGATAAACACTTGTCAGGTGGCAGCAGCTGTTCTAAATAGATTACAGTGCTCATTTATGCAGTACTGAACACGACCCAAAGAGAAATGAGCCTTGTTCAACAGATAAAGGAACGGAGGAGCAGAGGGGTTAAACAACTTGCCCGTGGTCACACAGCTGGTAAATAGCAGTGCTAGGACTCGACCTGTGAGGGCCGACTCGGGAACCTGTGCTATTAACCACCGCTTACCAGACTGCCACAAGCTCTTCACACCTCGGCAAGCCTCAGACATGCTAGAATAGGGAAGTCGGTAGCCAGTATCTGAGCACTGTCTGGCTTGCCTGATTTGCATTTGAGATCGCTCCCTCGGGCAGGAAGTGGGGCCAGCTAATGACCAAACGGTGTCCACTCTATCTCCTAATCAGTGCTTGAATTTCTGGGCCCCCTCTCCCTCCCCACTGCCACCGTTCATTCAAGCCACCACTGCCGCCCCGCTGGGTTATGGCAATCTCCGCCAGCCTGAGCTTCCTACCTCCAGACCTACCTGGCCATGAAGCCAAAACAGAACCACAAAAGGGTGCCAAGTTAGCCAAGGAAGGACAGACACAAGCCCCAACACTCCCCAGAGCAACGACTGGGGAGAGGTGGGAACCACTGCAGCGGGTCTGGACAAATCTAGAGAAAGTAAAGCCGCAGGGGAGCGAAGACCCTGAACAAAACCTGCGCGTGTAGCAAACGCAGGCTGCCTGCGTCTGCCCTGGGGACAGTGCCCCGGGAACAGATGTGGACAATGCTCATCGGCTCTGCTCCCTGGTTCCCCGGTCCCCCTGGGGTTGGGGCTCCCATTAGAGGAGATTGGCTGGCTCCGGTCACCCTCTGCCCTGGCCTGGCCTGGCCTTGCCGAGATGAGCCCCAGGCAGGCCTTGGGCAGGGAGGAGACTCCTCACATGATTCGGCGTAATCCTCCCTCTCCCTTCCGAGCTGCCTGCTACAGACAGAGCGCAACAGAAATGCAGAGGAATCGGGGCCCATTGTGGGCCAGAAGGGCCCTGCTGTTCAGCATCATTGGGGCCATGGGACACCTGCCTTCCCCGGGTACCTCCCTGCCCCAGCGTCTCCCGAGGGCCACAGGTAGGTACCCACTGCGGCCCAGCACCTGCTGCTGAAACCCCCCTGCGTGTACCGATGGAGGTAAGGGAAATGCTCTCAAGACTCCCTTTTGCTTCTGCTCCCTGCTGAGCTTGCTCTAATTTTTAGCATTTGGAAGCATAGCCGAGACCTTTCCTCCCTCCTCCTGGAAGCTTTTAAAGACAGCTCTGGAATAATTCACAGAGATCAAGACGTAGGCGGGCCTCCGGTTTTATTGTTTGAAACTTCATCCTGGGGAAAAAAAATCTTTCACCCTAAAACTCTGCTGTGGCAGATGATTCTTTGCAGGCAGGCTGGAGGACTACCTAGGCTCTGAAATGAGAAAATGAAATTGTACAGATTAGAAATATTTAGTTACCAGAGACATGGTTTCTCCTGGGCATGGCAGGGGGGCTTGGAATTCCCCTTTAGATATAGATATGAAAAGCGATTTAACAATTTCTTCTTTTTGTCTATCATCAGTTTATGTCATTAAAACATCTCCTTCCGATCCAAAAGGTTGATTGTTTTAAGGCTCTCCAGCTACATTACTTTCAGAAGTGTCTCAGACGCTTTCACTAGGTTCTTAAAATCCCACCCAGATATGCCACGGGTTTAAGAAAAAGCTTCGCATGAGCTTGAAATGTGTGACTCCAACATTCTTCAAACTTTCACCTTCTTTTCCTCACCAGGAAATAGCACCCAATGTGTTATTTCTCCATCATCTGAGTTTCCCGAAGGGTTTTTCACGAAACAGGAGCGAGCAGACGGAGGCATCATAATCTACTTCCTGATCATCCTTTACATGTTCATGGCCGTGTCTATTGTCTGTGACGACTACTTCCTGCCCTCCCTGGAGATCATCAGTGAATGTAAGTGGCCGGAGAACTCTCCTATAGCCTTCCAAGAATAGCTGTGTTGCACAGATGTGGCACGGCTGTGTCTGAAATAGCTCACATCAGTCTCACCTGGTACTGTGGAGTCCCGGGTCTTACGGAGCTAGCTGGGGGTGGTTTCTCATGGTAGTTAGTCAGAGTTCGCATCCATAGCTATTAGTTTGTATAGTGCCAGTCTCCAGAAACCTATTTGCCTGCTGCGCTGTCCAGCCCGTTCCAACATTTCACACGTATGCATTTGATTCGTACTTCTAATACAATGCAACTTCTGATATTTGCCATTTGGTTCTTCGAAAAATGTCACATTTTTCTTTTGAATTTCACATTTTTGAAAAAAGAGATAAATGATAAATAACTGTGATCAAGGTCCCCCCCCCTCGCCTCCCTCCTCTCTCAGCATCCTGCCATTAAAGAAAGGAGTTGATACTCAAGAGCCAACAAAGAAATAAATCCTGCATCCTATGAAAAGTGACTCAAGCTCAGGATAATTTGTACATTCGGTTATTAAAAATTAAGCTAGGTTTCTGGTTTCTGCAAGTAGGATCAGCCACTCCAATGCCCTGAGTTGTAGTCCTCCAGCAGCGGACATTGCCCAGAATTTGGAGTATAGACTGGCGTGCTGGTCCCTAAAATCAGGACATCCGTGATGTTTATGCCATGGAAGCAAAAGAAGCAGCACTTCCAGCCTCTGTGTCCTACTTGGTGAAGTGGCTCCCTGCGCTCATTCCAAAGACAATCGTAAGGATTGGGTTTTCTATTGCATATTCTTGGGACCGCACCGAAACACCAGCATCCTCAGCCACACACACACACACACACACACACACACACACACACGCATTTTTCTAGAACATGAATGTCAACTCCCCCTTTTCCCACCACCCTAGGCCCCATCCCCTCTTCACCCCAAAGTGTCTTATTTTCTCCTTTGCTCACAGCAGTACGGCAGTATCTGTGGGACCCAGCAACAGACATCCTAAAGATAATAATAATTTAGTGCAGGTATTATTTAACTTGAGTAGATGCAAATGCATGCATTTTCACATTTATATGCTTCACGTTGACATTTTGATAGTTTCTTTGCTATATGTTGTTACTTTAACTTTGTTTTCACTAAATGCAAATTTTTTAAAAGGGAAGAAAATGGTAACCCTACCTATATTTCTGTCGCCCCAAGATCCTTACAGTTAACACTTGGTACACAGTATTTCCTTTCAGTCTTTTGAACCTAGATAGGTAGACAGACAGACGGACAGACACAGAGAAAGAGAGAGGGGGAGGGAGGGAAAGGAGGGAGGGAAGAGAGCCTGAGACCTTTACTTTTGTTCATATAATACTTGATTATTCACATTTCCCCACGCCATCGCTCTTCACAAACGTGATTTCCAAGGTGGGATGCTGGTCTGTGATCCTATGAATGATCTGAACACCCAGAGGCGTCACTTGCTGTAGGCATCCAGTAGAAATGTGCTATGTTAAACTATAGTCATGTTGGACGTGTGATTTGTTTAAATTTTTTGTTTTGAATACCGTTACACCCATACTTGTATAATTACATGCACACTTCTCTGGTCACTCTCATTAGGAGAGTCAACCTATTTTAAGCCTCATTAATTGCCAAAAAACATTCTACAAAGGATGTCTCCGTTTAAACCTCCTTGATAAACCTCAAGAAAATATCACTTTCACTGTCTTTGTCAATTACTATAAACTAGAATTTCATTCTATAAACCTTGTATTTATCATCTTATTTATGGAGTTGAGAAAATATATATATGTACATATATACATATATATATGTACATATATACATACACATATATATATATATTTTTTTTTTTTTTTTTGGCACCAGGGATCAAACTCAGGACCTTGTGCTTGAGAGGCAGGTGCCATGCCACTGAGCTAATTTCCTGGGCCCCCATATTCTTTGGGAAAAGAATGAAAAGTCAATATTGTTCATTGATTTTTTTTCAAGACACAAAATATAAAAAGATTATCTAGTATAATTTCTATACTGTATGATTTTCACAGTTTGTTGTTTCCTTTTAATTTTGTGTTTGTCACATTGAAGTTTAAATATTTAAGTAAATTTATAACTCTTCTATCATTCCTTGTGGCTTTATATTTAGATCATTTTATCACGAGTTCCAAAAGTTGTCATATTTTCTTTCACTTATACTTTTTTCCCTATTTTTATTTCTTCCACTGAAATCTTGTCTTGTAATAGAATATAATACCATGGCTCAATCTGGCCAATTTTCATATACTTAGTTTATATATTTGTATCTGCTTGTATAATTCCAACTCTGTTCTAACAAATTTATTCATGAGTCTGTTCCACACATTTAATTACAAAGTGTACAAAACTAAAAATTTTAAATTTTCATCATTTACCATTAAGAAATTTAAATTCCAAAGTATGATACACATTCTAAACAATGATAGACACGCAACAATGGCAGGACTAAAGGAACAACTCCATGGAAAATTTTTGTATACAAAGAGTCATCTTGGGAGTGGTTAAATAAATAAATAGGAAAATTGTTATAGCCCTACAAAAGGAACTGCTGCATAAAATCTAGATCGTGACTTCGAAATAATGTTCATTAAGTGACTCCATATGTCTATTGTGATGACTTCCATCTTGCCACTTGTGAGATTGCCCTGAAACCTCATTAGCAAACACGTGTTTCTCCAGCGAATCACTCTGCCATAAAATATAAGGCAGCAGCTATTATGCATGTGATTTACGGGCTCCACGCCACTGCCAAGTCTTCAGTTGTTAAGAATTGACCCTGCTCTTGAAAATCGAAAATACCAGCCAACAAAATGAGATTGAAACAGCGCTGGCTCAATTTCTTTTGAAATGCCTATGCATTAATTCTGTCATTTCTCTCTTCAAGGTCTAGCATGGTTTCATCCATACTACGACATCAACAATAAAAACACAGCTCCCTACAATGCATTTATGCCTGCAGAAACTGACTTGGGGAGAATTCACCGATGTCCTCTTTCCCCATAGTCCTTTAATGAGCATTGAGTTGTCATCACTTTGCTCATTTTATCAGCTAATAAGTATTAATATAATCCTCAAAGCAGTTTAGTGAGACTTTCCACAGTGGACTGGAGTTAATTTGTCAACGGTGCATCCATACATCTATACGCACATGCAGTCTCATTTAGTCATCCCAAAAATCCTACAGTAGAGACTACGTGATATATTAGTTCTACTGATGAGATTTTGGCTGGGAGGGTAGGCAATTTCTCAAGACCAGAGCCCATACACAGCAAAGTCTTGATTTGTCTCATGTCAAAATTCAAATGTGATCCTACTGTATAATTTTACACTTCCTTATTTGAGATTAGCTGCTATAACATGGTTACTTCAGAAGATCTGTTCTATTTGAGCAATTTTACGAGGAGTTTTTCTCCCAAGGGCATTGAAATTTTTTACAAAAACATAAATCAAACCCCGACTGTGACTATGGAGGAAGTATATGACAAAATAGAGGGGATACACTGAATTATTTACAAGTCAGTTTGGGCTTTTGGCAACCTTAGAAAGGGTTTTTAACTAATGTTATAAACACTTCCCCATAATAATTAGGTCCTCGGGCCTAAACATTTTGTCTAAAATGCATAAGATCACAGAAAAGTGTCACGGAAATACGTATCATATATGATGTAGTTAGGTTCTGTGGGGTGCATCCTGAGTGCCAGCCAAGAACGGGATGTAGGTCCCTGGCTCACCCCAGCCCCACCACTCTACCACTCCACCCTCAAGTTACCACGAGGGCTCGGCTCACTCTTCAGCAAAGGGAAGGCAAGAAGAGGCTCAGCAGCGGAGAGCCCAAGCAGGAGCAGGGCCGGAGGCCGTGGAGGGCACAGGCTCTTGCTGCTTACCTGGCAGGACCCCAGCTCATTCTGGCAAGGGCTTTGCACCATGTGTACCTATGTATGGTGGTCTTAGCAATTTCTCCTCAAAGATGCTGCCACCAGAGACTTCCAGCAAGGATTATTTTTTCCTTCTCTTTGCTCTACCCATGATCTTAAGTCACACAGTCTCTTCTCCACCCTTCAACCCTGGAAAAGCACTGCACTTCTCTTTACTGAGACATTTTTCCATCATCTTAATTTGTGAGATCATTACAAGACAACTGCTGCTATATACCCCTCCTCCAATCCTATCAGCTTTTTCTTTTTCCCCCATTAGGCTCAGTAAGGAAAAAGAAAAAGCTAATGGTATGTTCTGAACACAGAGGGCTAACATGCAATTGCTTATATTATGCAGGGAAAAATATATCACACTCTGGTTGTACACTGCAGTTTATGTTTCAAGAAAACTGGGTTCTGTGGTGGGAAAAGGGTTGGTGATTCTGGGAAAGGAGTTAAGAGAAGTGATTAGAAAGGGCCACTATGTGAGACGGAGTTTGAGCCCAAGAACCTAGAGGTACTGGGGTAAGGAACAAAGCCCAGGGGATGGCCCATCCTCTCCGCAGCTGTGCTACTCTACTCAGGAGATGCTCTGAGGGGCAGGAATAAAGGACCCTCTGTGACCTATGGACCTTCACCTTAGATCCTCGTATTTGGTTCACGAAGTGAGTCACATTATGTTGTAGACAGAGCTGGTACTGTTAGCTTGGAAGCTTTTGTCACTCTTCCTCTAAGTTAATCTGCTCGCTGAATAGTCTATGATAAGGCTGAGAATCTTCATAGGATCAGAAGGGAGGAACACAGCCATCGTACACTCCAGCCACACACGTGACACAGTCGGCAGTGTCCACCTTGGGCTGGGTTCCACTCCCTGCTCTGCCATTACTAGCTCTGTGACCTTGGGCAAGGGCTCCACTTCTCTCTGCCACGCTCCATCAGCAGGGAAACCGGCCTGGTGTAGGTCTCCATTCAGGAGCTCTGTGCAAAGCACATGAGGAAATGAGAGAAAAGTACTTACACAAGGACCTAGCACACAGGAA